CATATCAATATCAGTAACTGCGAAACTGCCCTATATATAATATAGGTAAATAATATACTAGATTGTGCATAAAACTCAATCAAAGACAACTTACTACGCTTCCTTCCCATTTCCAAAAGTTGTGCCCAGATTTACTGGCTGTTGCTAGGTTACAATTACTATTACTTACTATAGTATCATTGCTATAAAACTAAACATCAAAGTATAATTAAGCATATTAGAGGTGACATTAAACATATATCACAGGCGCGTTTGCTAATTCTAAAATTAATATTAAAAATTACATATCAAAATAATAATAAATTTATACATACTGTAATATACTTGAATAATATAACTCGTTAATCTCTCTTTACTAAATATATTATTAGGATCAGGTTACATATATATTAAATGTACATATATATAATTTGATATATGCATTTTATTAAGGAATTAATGGTCTCGGCTAACAGTTTCTATCATCAAAGTAATTGGCTATCATATTATCGCAAAATCACGACAACAACACAGTCACTCCACACACAATCTAACACACAACCAGACACACCCAACACACTATCAACATACAGCTAGACACAACCACTTACTTCTTACCACTATTCAATCTCATCGAGCACACTCAATCTAGACATCACTACGATCTCATCACACACACTACACCCACCCACTCCACAATGGCCACAACCACACTACTGGTCTGCAAGACTACTGTAAAGAATATTGAGTACTTAATCGTTTATTTTAATTATTACCAATTAAATATTACTCCTATCATAACTTAATAATTTGGCGACGTTGGTAACATTCGATAGAGATTACTGTGAGACATCTATTTCAGTCTTATACAGGATTTGTAACCGATAATTCACATCCCCTCTATAAATTTTTAACGTATGATTTATTATACATACAAATCCTAATTGCTATCAACCAAGTATATTAACTCTAGAAGTTCCATGGCTCACTCATAAGCTTCTAAAATGAACCATAATGATGTAATGAATCGATCAATTTTACCAATTCAGTATTTCTAGAATGCTTTTTTTACTGCCTATTTTGAGAAACTTTGGAAATAAATATGCTCATTCAAAGATGTGTTAACTATCGACTCTTGGTAATTATTAATGATGAGTGATTTAATAAGAGATGTCTATTATGAGCGATGTTTGTGTTCTGTACTTGATGATAGTAAGCGCGATGCTTTCGTGTGCTAGTTCTGTGTCTATTCTGTGCTTAGTCGTGTATCTTGAAGCGTCATTGACACTGACACCTTTGGTCTTAGCGTACTCAATATTAAATCTCGATTTTTCTAGTGTGCACTTAGATATAGAGTATCATTACTAATAATAATTATATAAAATTTATAATTATAAATTGATAATAAATTAATATGATTAAATACATTACATATGTGTTGATGCGAGAATGTGATTGATGTATGTATTGATTAGTGTGTTTAGTGGTGCATTATATAACACAC